CTATTTTGTGGAGTAATAATTTCGCGGCTCGAATGTGCAAAAATAAGAAAATCGATTTGAGCGACCTCTAAATATTCATCGAATTTGGATTTTTTGGTATCAATATTTTAGTTTTAATGTAATCTTTATAATTTAGGCCAGTGCGGGTTCATTTTTTAAAAAAGGCTTTTTTTGAATCACCCTACCCAACAGAGAGAATTAAAATTTATCTTAAGCCAATATATTTAAGACAGTTATTTGTGTTTAAATTTGACAAGACATTCGTATAGCCTAATTAGTTATATGTCTAAAGTCGACACATTTATCGTCGCCGTGGCAGTCAAGCCACAAATTTTAGATATATGTAGTTTAACTTTATAATAATAATTATTATACTTAATATTATAATAATTATTATACTTAATATTATACTGTCAATATTTTGGAAAAAAGGCTGTTTTCGGTAAAAAGTTACCATGGTCATTTTTTTGCATGGATTGGTTCGGTCTGATAAGAAAAACCTAACCCAACTTTAAAAAAGTTTAATACAAAAATTACAATAATAACAATTAAAATAAAAAAAATTGGTGAAACTTACCGATAAAAATTCTCCGACAATTATCTATTTAGTGTTCTTTAGCCAAAAATGAACAATGAATGTGAATAAAGTAAAAAATTGTAAGAGGTTAAACAAACCATTTAAAAATATAGTGTGACCGATTTGTTTAAATTCGATAAGCTGTATTTTTGAAGCAAATTGTTTTTTCATTGTTTTTTTAAGTTTCTATTGCGTTTTTTATTTGTTCAATCTAAGCGTAAGAATATTTATACCATGTTACTTTTATATTAATGTTTTTTTTCATGAAAAACTTAACAGAATATTTTTTTGTAAATAGCAATTATTAACCATTTTTAATTTAGCCACTGGTTGTTTAAGGGGTGGTAAATTCAGTGCCGTGAATAGATTTTTTTTAATCGATTATATGAATTCTTTAAAGTTTACTTTTTAAAACTAAATGTAGTGTTTTTTTCTCAAAAATATAGTTTATAAAGATCCACACTTTAAAACAAATCGGTTAAAATAGCACAATAAATAAAGATTTTACAGTGAGAAGTTGCAAAGAAATGGGTCATACTGTATGTGTTATTATATGTATATCGCTAGATGTATAAAAGGGTTTTTATATGGAATTGTCAATTTATTGTTAATAGGCAGTGAAAACGAAACTCCATACTTCAATTAGTTACCTAGTTATAAATAATTCCAGTTAGGTTATAATGGTAAACGCTGCTAATAAATTATCAATTATATTGTCTACATTGTCTGACATAGGAATTATAAATAGCGAATTGTTATTTCACAGAAATATAATATAATAAGTAATATGCCTTACATTGATTTAATTAAATGTAGGCCTGGTAGAGTTATGCTACTTTTATTTTTAAAATGTTGAAGGTCTTTAAATGTAGTACGGTGTCTTTCACAAAAATTCACGCACTTGTTTATGGGTGCGAATGTCAGTGGGCAAATAAAGTAACGATTATAAATATTTAATAGGGCAGTCGGTACAGTTGTTAAACAATTGTTTATTAACCTAGTAATATCCTATTAAAGGATTCATTAAAAATTGTTCTACCACCACCAGTTATCGTACATGTTTCCATGACACTAAGTGATCTTTTAAATACACATTGACAAGCTGTAAGTTTATGCCTTTAAGTCACAGGCTGCAGTTAGCCTAAATGTCATACACTCATCAAAATGAAGTACACTTCTTTTACAGACAAATTTAACAAACTAACAATGCGATTTTAAAAGCCGATAAACACCAATTTGATTACTTAATTTTCTTATAGATTTCGCTGTATAAAAATATGAACATTAATTAATAATAAATTATTTTTTTAAAGTAATTTTCGTAAAAAAAGTATAGTATGCAAGTTATTTATAAACTAAACTTATTTTAAAAAAATATATGGACAAAAAATTTTTTTGACTTCATCTAAATTCAATTCACTTGTACTAAACAGTAGGACTTTTGTACACACTTCCACGACAAAATTTTAAATTTAACACCCTTTATTTTATCATAAATGTATTTTTTTATTGATAAAGGTGGTTACCCTTAAAGTTTGACTTTAAAATTTTAGGTTTATGTTAGAAAACAGTATTTTATTATACGAGAGAATGCACATTATTTCGAGTAAAACTATCCTTTTAAGTTAAGTATTTTTTAATAATAAAAATTTATTATATCCTCACTTTCTTTGTATTTTAAACACATAGATGTGTATACTTTTATGGGTATTTTTTTATTAAAAGAGCAATAAGGTCGGTGAAATTAGAGGCTATTAAAATAAAATTTGAAAATTAAAAAAAAAGTTACGGCAGTTTTCAAAATATTTGAATAAAACTAAAAACCTTTTAAAACCACAAACCGCTATAACTTCGATATTCCTGTGAATTTTAAAGAAAGTAGGTTCTTTGCTTCCTTATTTTGAGTTACCATCACTATCTTTTGTTTTTGTAATGGCCGCCATAACTTATGTAGTTTGATACATCGTCGGATACCTTGATTTTCTTATTGCTTTAGTTGTGTAAAATTAAAATATGGCGGCCATAGGAAAACAAAAAGATGGTGCTGGTAATCAACACGCAAAAAAATCACAAATTGGATAAAAATGTTGGTTAATTTTTGGTTTTTAAGGGTTATTAGTTTTTTTTAATATTTTGAAAAACGCTGGATATTATAATTTTTAATAGACTTTTAATTACGAAACTTTTTTCTAAGTTGACCAAATTTTCAGATCTTTGAATAAAAAATATACCCATACCTAGAAGGATACTTAGTACACCCTGTATAAGTCTAAAATTCTGAAAAGACAGTTCCAACCTCACTTTTTCCCAATTTAAAAATGGATTGGTAAAATAACAGTGTTTATTGAAAATGGCCAATTACTGATACATACCAACGTGAATAATGAGATTATTATTCCCGGTTTTGGCGGGGCGGTTATAATAGATACCATTATGGAAGCAAATGCGTATCGTACTGTGCTTATTATGGCATACAAATAGAAAAGTTATTTGTTTTACAAGTGTTAATAAGCGACTTTTTCATGCAAGTGTTTAAGTTGCTCACGAGGCCGTTAGGCCAAGTGTGCATTAACACGAGCTTGAAGAAAGCTTTTCTCACATATGAAACACAATATTTTTTCTACGACCCTTTTATTTTTTATTATTTTCAAATAAAAAAAATAACCTCAAAACGTGTTTGACAGCTGTTAAAATTACTTTCATCTTATTCTTTTAATTTTTAAGTTACTTAAAATCAATAAATTAGAATTTGGTATACAAACACAATTAACTGTGTTCTAAATGATATTTAGACAAACATATACAAATACAATACAAATTTTGATACGAATGTCAAACGATGCTGTCAATTTATTTTTACACAGACCGGTCACTTTTAACACAGAAATGTCACTTTTCATTTGTGTTTTGCTTTGCCAATGAAAAGATTCATTTTCTAAGCAACAATGCCATTACAAAATGTGACTTTTACATAGTGGTAATAGAAAAACTACTTTTTTGCTAATATTTCGTATATATACGAAAACCAATAAGAATCTTATTATAAGATGTTTGTGTAAAGTAATAACCACGGTATCGTACTTATTTATATAATTATATATAATAGTACGATTCGCATTGTACGTATTGTCATGGCAACAATACGATACGCAAATATAATTTATAATTTGAATTTTTCTTAAAATGTTAAAAAATAGAAAGAACTCATGTAATAAGACGTCTTATGACATTAGTTCTTTGATAAACTATTGTTGGTGATAATATTTCAAACCATTTTAAATTTATCGTTTAATGTGTCATTTTCACCCTTTGGTTTACTTTTTTAGATTTCTCCAAAAACTAAAATTAAGAATTTAACTGGTGAAAATAAATTAATTTTTTAGTTATTTATTTACTTAATAAGAAAGTTATGGCAAAACAATTAAAACAAATAAGGTACTATAGTACTTTACAGGATACAGTTCTTTAATTACTTTTCATTATTGGTACGTCATATTTACTTCCTATTTAAATTTTAGTTTCTATAAGTAGTAGCAATAAAGGCTGTTAAGGTGGCGCCACCATTAACACCTCAAGGTTATATTTGACATACACCAGATGTCGCATGCATACAAGACAAGTCCTACCTTTGACATTTAGTAATAATAATAAAAAAATAAATGTATTTATTACCCCACTGTTTTTCACAATACAGAACATTAATATTACAATATTAAAGATACAAAAACAAAATTAAATAATGTTTTAATTAGCAAGTATATCGAATTAACAATTTTATAAATAAACAGTATAAAAAAAGCAAGAAGTAATAAAAATTTATAAACGTGGGCTTTCGCAAAAAAAATTTGTACAGTCAAAAACTGTGATCTATGTTGCCTAAAGCGAATTAATTAATTTGCTTAATTTTTGGTAAAACAGGTTTTCTATATCGAAATCACCTGTTTTTGCGATTGTTATGAAATGCAAAAGTAAAAGTTAAATTTCAGTGATAGTAGGCGGCTGGCCACACTTCAGTTCAATAGGAATACCGTCACTATTAAAGCATACGTAATTTATAGAACGGATTATGTATATTGATAAGATAATTTATGATGCTTTGTTGTATGCATTGTAAGAACCGTTATTTTATTAAAGGTTAAAAATTAGAGCAAGACTTCAAATTAACTTTTTATGGTTGAAATACATTTCTTCTAGACCAATAAAGAAACAGGTTTAATAAAAATGCTCACGTTTAAACAAAATGAAAAGTAAGCCATAACTTTCAATTTCTCTTGGATGATCCGCGTTCAACTCAAGGCCGAGTGTGGCCCCGATGCAATGTCAATGCTGCAGTGTTCAAAAGAATCGCGATGCCAAAAACATTAACGCAACAGCAAGAAATTGGAAATAAAAGAAAGATAAAATTCAATAAGGAAGTACTTACGTTTGCAAAAAATAACTTAAGTCACACTTCCACACAGACACGGTTAAAGAACTAAACTGACAGTCTTAAGGCGGTGTTTTCTAATCGAGTGCTCTGCGGTTCTCCCGCCATTCATACAAACCCACCACCAAAGCCATCTTGGATAAGAATTGCTGGTGAAATGGAGAACGAATGACTCAAGGGATTCTGGGTTTTTTGCATCTAGGTTTCGCAAACCTATTGTGTCCATTGCCAGCCTTCCTACCCTCCTTTCTTTTAATTATTGTTCTTGTCCATTTGCTGTCAATCAACCGCCATGTAAGCAATGTAAAAAAATCGCACATTTTAAACTTGAGACTTACATACTATACCTTAAAATTCCTCTTATCAAACCGTTTGTACTTTGCTAATATATTAAATGTGCTACCTATTTCACTTTTATAAAGGTTTAATTAAATATTTTACATTAAAAAAGTATTTGCTTTTTAAACATTTTATTAAGTAGCAAATTTAAATTGACTTTCTATATTTTTAGATGATCTAATTAGTTAAATAATATGAAGTAGCTTTTGCATTCTTTATGTTAATTTGTGAACGGAAACAGTTTATACGTTTGATGTTATAATTAAATAACGATAGGAAGCGTTTAAATCTCTGTAGGTATGTTAAAAATGTATTTTTATTTTTAGATTAAAGTTATATTTTTTTAATTTTATGTTTTAAAAGTATCTATATACATATTTCTTATATATTATAACCTTTTTTTTGTTTTATAAGCTCAAAATACAATACATTAAAAAATGGTATTGATGACAACCTTATATTATTTCATATGGGTTCATTTTAGCATCTTTAAAGAGGGCATCGTAAACAATATTTCTTAAAAAAAGCAAGTATTTTTAGTATTTACTTTTTTCACCCATTTATAAAAATCTACTGTTTTTTTGTTTGCCACAGGGTAGCCAATAACTTTTCTTGGATAATTTAAGTGCGCGAATTAAAAAAAATTACCATTTTGCTCAAAAAACACGTTTTTTCAATATTATCATTCATATATAATACATATATATTTATTATTATATAATATATATATATATACACTGCCCGTCAAAATTAACGCATAATAAGTAAAAAAATTCTAAAACCCCTTTACCAATCTTTATAAAATTTTGGATAAAAATTTTACGTTTTCAAGAGTTTTTCGAAAAAAATCCTTAAAGCCCTTTTATTAAATAAAAAGGCTTTAAAAATATTTTCTCGTAAAACCCTCGAATACGTAAACTAACATATAAGTATTCTTATACAAAATTTCATAAAGATTGGTAAAGGCGTTTTAGAGTTAGAGTTAGAGTAATTTTTTTGCTTATATTAGGATGTCCCAAAAAAAAAGAATATATTTTTTTTTCTTGTCTCTTGTAAAAATCTGTTAGTTTATCATGCTGTGAGAGCCCTTTCAAAATATCAGCTCGATTAAAAATTTTGTAGGGGTCGCTCAAGATTTTTAAAAATTTTCAAAATGGTCAAAAATTGAATTTTTGTTTTATTTTAATTCTTTTTCTCGTCTCGATATTATTTTTTAGGTTGAAAATAATAAAAATTCTGTAAATTTCAAATCAATATTTTGATTTCTAAAGGTCGCTAAAAGTTCGTTGATATTTATATTCAGAGGTCGCTCGAAAACATTCAAAATACTCTACTTTGAAAGTTAAAATAATTTTGAGCGACCTTTAGAAATTAAAATATCGATTTGAAATTTTCAGAATCATTATTATTTTTAAATTAAAAAATAATATTGGAAGGAGAAAAAAAATTAAAATAAAAAAAAATCCAATTTTTGACGATTTTGGTAATTTTTAAAAATCTTGAGCCACCCCTAAAAATTTTTTAATGGTGCTGATCTTTTGACAGGGCTCTTAAAACATGACAAACCAACATATTTTCACAAGAGACGAGAAGAAAAAAAATATTCTTTTTTTTGGGACACCCTAATATATATACACATTGTTCATAAAATACTTTAATCAAGTATTATTGATAATGCAGGTAGCTGTGGGTCGGAATTAAATTAAAAAAAAATAAAATAAACACATTTATATAGTTATTACCTATTAAAATTATGTTTTTAAAGAAATAAAATCGTTTTTAGCCAAAATTGGACAATTTTCAAAATCCAATAGGAGCAATTTTTGTCCGACCTAAAATTTACAAAATTTTGTGGTTTTATTAATCTGTAGTTTATTGAGTGCAATTAAATAAAAATTGGAAAAACGGCACTTAAAAAAACCGTACGTGCTAAAATTATATATATATATATATATATATATATCTACGGTTCTTTTCACTCATGGCGCTAATACAACTTTTTAAAAAATTCTGTGAACAACATTAATTTATAAATGCTTAAAGATGTAATATTTCTCATGCAAGAACATTTTTTTAAATTTTGTTAAACAGTGTCATTGTTTTTTTTTATTTGAAACTCATATAAATACATATTCCAATTTATTGCTATTTATGTAATAATGCTAAAAAATTAGTCTTTTTGTGGGCTGAAAAGTAAGACTTTTTGTGCTGAGCTCAATCAATTAATGCAAACGCGTAGCGAAGGCCTACAATTTAGCGAAGCACAAAAAGACACTGCTTAGCCACATGGAATGCAACGTTATAATGTAATTTTAATTATTAAATAATGTTTAAAACGTACAATTATAATAATAATTATAATTAAAATTAGAGGTGAGGTTAGATTAGATTTGACAGTAATCTAATTTTTTGAATGGTTAAACTTATTCTTACAGCCTAGGGTAAGTTTTTTTATTGAAGATAATAGTTATTTAGGTATAAGGCTTAGACGTGAGTCTTTTTGATCTGAGCTCTAAGTAGAGATGTGACTTGAAAAAAAAGATTTTTTCACTTTTTTTTTCAAATGTTTTTTTTCATATTTTATTTTTTTTTTCAAGATAAGTTTCATTTGCCTAATTTTTTATGTTTCCAGTCTAGTTCATAGACTAAAATTTAGCCACTAAATGACATTTAGTAAATATAAATACAGTCACGCGCCATTACCACTGAATTGCCATCTCCACCTGCGGCGATTAGGAGTCAGGTTTGTTTTGATTTGGTCATAAAAAAAGTAACTACCTGTAATAGAATTCAAGAAGTTTTTTTTAAATTGTCATGGTTTCTTATGTGAAAACTACCAAATAATAAGAAATCAAATTTTCAATAATGGAAAATTTAATATATTCTAAATTTAAGGGGTATACTGCAAAAGAATCCTAACTACAAAAATAATTTTGGTTTTTTATCTTAAAATATTTCTATTATGCGCTTATAAACTAGCCTAATACAGTATTTTAATATAGTAGTACACAACTACTCTTCTTATTAAAAAAACTTTATAAGGATAATAGAAATATTTAAAGATAAAACCACAAAATGTTTTTTTAGTTAGGCCGCTTTTGCAGTATACGCCTCAAATTTAGAATATATTACATTTTCCATTAGGGGACAAATCTCATGTTAAGGGAGTCATTAAAAATCTCACGTCAACTTTTAGGTTTAAAGAATATGTATTATAATTTAAATTTGTCAAAAAAAGTAATCAATTTTTATTTTTTGTGTTTATAATGTTGTCCACAAAGAAAGTTTAATGGGTAGAATCTTACGTGAGTCTACCACATCTCACCAAATCTCACCAAGTTTGAGGGAGGGGTCCAAATTACCAGAAAAATGCCTCACGTAATTAATTGATGTCCCCTTATTAAAAATTTTGACATATAGAACACTTGAAGATAAAAGATTATATTTTGACAATCGGTTAAAGTATTTTATTAACAAAATATATTTACAAATATAATTCTTTTATATCCTTAAAACAGTAGTGTGAGATTCATAGAGCACCTCTTCTTTTTCTAATTTTAAAGTTGCTGCTGTACGAGGTCGCCCATTTTCATCGGATAATTCGGAACTTTCTTCGATCCAAAGATTTTTAGTTACAACAATTAAAGTGGCAGTAAAAAATATAAAATCGTTTGAAGTATCTTAGATTTTTATATTTTGTGCAATACATTTATAAATGTTTATATTTTTTTATTTTTGTCCATTCAAAAATTATGGTCAAGACCAAAAACTTTTTTATCTGTTTTTTTATTTTATTAGGTTTTAACTTAAACAAAAACAAAATAATAATAATATAGTATTATTTAAAATGTAAAGCTATATTTCAACCACTATACACCAACATCTTTCAAATAATATGGTCCAAGAATAAAATAATGTTAAAGACCTTTTAACTCAGTGTACTGATGAATAAAATTTACTTATATTATTTTAATTGGATAATGGTTAATTAAATTCATAACAATTTAAAACAATTATTTATAATAAAAAGTTATGCAAATTAATTGTTTTATTATTTAAGTAGAAAGTTTAAAATTTTCAAAAAAAAAATAGAATTTGGACAGCTTAATTTTTTATGAGTCTACTTTCTATAAGTAAGTAAACTACATGACAAGATAAACAATAATTTGCATAAAAATAACATGGCAATTACAAAAAATACATGTTATTTCATCAAAATGGTAGGCAGGACGTTAAAATAGACACTTTAAATTATGCTTTACGGTTATGGTTAACTAAATGGACAATTTGGTCGAATTAAAATGTAATTAATATATGGAAACCTTAAATATTTTAAGTGACCTCTTTTCTTGCTTTAGTTAAATAAGTTAAATATTTTTTATCATTATGTAACTTTTAATGTACATTTTACTAATTACATAAAAATAAATTATTTAAGTATAAATAAGTATGTTATTCATGAACTTTTAATGAAATATTTTAAATAAACCTTAAATTACATATTTATGCATTTTATTTAATAATGATTTAATTAAATAGTATTTACAAACCTATAATTCAATTAACAAGACCATTAAGATAACTTAATAATATAAAATAATTGATAATGGCTATATCGGCCTTCTTGTTGCAAAAAATAAATGATAATAAACATTGCCAAATTTCTTTTTTGCTATTCATTATTTTTAAATAGTCTTCTAAATTGTTTAGGTAAAA